TTCAACGGTATAACAACGAAATATTTGAGATTTGGTATCAACATAATAATAATATTAAAAAATAACTTCAATGTCATTCAGAAGAAAATATACAATATCATAATTCAGCCAATGACTCACATGAAGGAATAAGCTAATACTAGAAATGTGTCCATAGGACACGGATGCCCCCACACGCCACTGTTCTGTCAATCTTATGACTCTAGGTAAAATATTTTTTGGACTACATGTGCCACAAATTGAAAACTAAAAATCAACAAAGGGCCATAATTCTGTTAAATTTGGTTGCAGCAAAAATTCCTTCCTTTACTACCATCTACACATTAAGGTTGTTAATCCCTGGAAGTTTAAGCAAAATCTGCCATCCGGTTTAAGAGGAGTTGCATTCACAAAATTTCTACATAGTATATAATGAAAAAATCAAAAAAGGGCCATAATTCTGTTAAATTTGGTTGCAGCAAAAATTCCTTTCTTTACTACCATCTACACATTAAGGTTGTTCATCCCTGGAAGTTTTAAACAAAATCTGACATCCGGTTTAAGAGGAGTTGCATTCACAAAATTTCTACATAGTATATAGTGAAAAAATCAACAAAGGGCCATAATTCTGTAAAATTTGGTCGCAGCGAAAATTCCTTCCTTTACTACCATCTACACCTGAAGGTTGTTCATCCCTGTAAGTTTAAGCAAAAATCTGCCTTCCGGTTTAAGAGGAGTTGCATTCACAAAATTTCTACATAGTATATATAGTGAAAAAAATCAACAAAGGGCCATAATTTTGTTAAATTTGGTCGCAGCAAAAATTCCTTCCTTTACTACCATCTACACATTAAGGTTGTTCATCCCTGTAAGTTTAAGCAAAATCTGCTATCCGGTTTAAGAGGAGTTGCGTTCACAAAATTTCTACAGAGTATCTAGTGAAAAAGACAACAAAGGGCCATAATTCTCTTAAATTTGGTCGCAGCGAAAATTCCTTCCTTTACTACCATCTGCACATTAAGGTTGTTCATCCCTGTAAGTTTAAGCAAAATCTGCCATCCGGTTTAAGAGGAGTTGCGTTCACAAGATTTCGGGACGTACGGACTGACGGACGGACAGACGGACAAGTGCAACGCTATATGCTCCCACATTGTGGGGGCATAAAAATGTTTAAGTGTATCAAAAAATGATACGATTCAAATGAGAGAATGGGATGATAAGTTACACTCCAGTAATTGCACATCTTAGCACAACAATTACCAGTACAATTATTCTAACATTCACACAGTGTATGCCATCTCTATGAGCTTTGTATTTCATTAGTTGTATTTTCCATGGAAAAATGTTCCTCTTTTTTTCTTAATCTTTCACTACTTTTGTTCTGTTTATGAATAAGATGAATTTGCTTACAGTGTTTACAAATCAAATCACTTGTTTACATTTTGCTATTTTGTCTTTTTTTTTTAAATAAGTGCAAGTGATGGGAAAGATACGCGCTCACTGAAATTTTGAATTTGAATTAATAAAAGATGGCAGTAGAATTTGAATATCTAAATCCGAGTTTACACGTCCAAAACAGCGCACAGTCATACAATCTCATATAAACTAATCCGACAGTTGTTATTTTCTTAGGCGTATCATAAAACCCCCCTTTTGTCTCACTCATAAATGAAACAACATTGAACATGATAGAACGAGACACGCGCACACAATCGGCCAAATTCATAGAATAGTGCAGCCGCCCTTCTCTTTGTATGGGTTTTCTCCCGGTGTCAGAAAGCCGTTGATGAGAGCATCTTCGCTAGTATGTTGCTCGCAGTATTTCATGATGTCTTCTATGCATTCGGAGACTCGCACTCGAGGCACTGCAGCCTCTAATCTAAGCTGCTCGACCAACTTCCTCTGTTGTTGAAGGCCCTCTTGGAACTTGCTCATTCTCGCCTCTGAAAAATAAAATGGTTGTTGTAGTAAAATTATCATACGAACAAATTCAATGGTAATGTAAACTATTTGCTGTAAGTAAAATGGGCATAAACAAAATCTATGACAATGGCGAGGGGAAAATATCGATCATTGCTCATTATGGTGATCCATGATGACAATAAAGACATTCTAACAAACAACTTCTTCCAAACGTGAATTATATACATGTACATATATTAACCTTTAACTTTTATTAGCACAATGTTTGTATGAAACACTACAAAAAAGCTATATTCCCATGGAACTTCGTTCAGCTTATTTATAATTGGTATTCAACTAATCTATAATTAAGTCACATAGTGAATCCTTTCATACGATCTGTTGAAGGGGCAACGTTTATTTCCAGGCAGCCAGTTAGGCCAATTCTTTGTTAAATCATAAATCTGTTTTGAATTTTTGTTTTTGGGGCACATTAAGCCCCAGAAATGAATTTATTTTCTTCCTTAGAAAGGACAATCACGTACTTTAGAACCTGAAGAAAGTAACAGTAGATGTGGATGTGAAAAAATGTCATAGAAATAGTAAAACGTGAACAATTACACTACAAAATACTAAATCACTATCAATGCAAATAGTTCAGCAATGAGACTGAAACAGGGCACCAAACAAAATAAAACAGTAGGTTCTGATAAATTAAGATTATGCCATCTTTGGGCTAGATTGTTTTCTTCTTCTGTGTGAGCCCTTAATTTTATGCGGGTGCAATCATGATAAGTCTAGCTTTATCATCTAATTAAATGGTATTTGAAAATGCACTAGTAGATGTACATACAAGAGTACAATTTCATATGTTAATGATCATCCATTGTACTTTTTTGTCTACAATCATTCAGAAAAGTATACAAACAAATTTGTCAAAGATTCACAGATGTAGATGGGCTATGCAGACGTTGATGTTATCTGGGCGTTCGGGATAGATATGCGGATGTAGAATAATATAGGAAAAAAGAAGGGTATGTTACTTATACTCAATGTTTCGCAACTTAGTTAAAACATATTTATTTACGTTCGATCGTGAAACAATTTTTTTCACTTTCGGGTCCTTTATTAGTAGTGGAAACTTGGTTGTGATCTGAGTAGGGACCGAATCCATGGTAACTGGGTTATGCGGCAGACATCACTCCCTTTTTGCAATTTTGAATAACATCTTACGCTGCATATTAATAATTAATTGTGTTATAATGATTCATTAACCTGTTTGAAAATACAATAGAAATAAAATACCTAGAGTTATTATAGGAGTGTCTTGAACTTGTATTTGACTATGGTGGAATTTACTAGGTTTGAATCTAACGAGGAGCGGAAGCCTAGAGCGCGATTTGTTGTAGTTAAATCAGCTATATACAAATTTTCTTTATGTTGAGTAGTGATGAATGTGTGCGTGATGCATTCAATAAATATTTTAAAAAAGTATTTACATGTATATAATTTTATGAGCTTATTACATATTGTTATTAAGCACAAGAATTATTTGTTATTTAACATTTAACTGTACAACACGAGGTCATATTGAGGAGCCGCCGGTCGAGTCTCATATGATTTCGTGTCCAGATATATTTCCGTATGGTACTTGTTTAATTTAATACTTGTTTACTCAATTTCTAAATTACAATAAGGAAATGCGACTTACTTTTGTCGTTTTTATCACTGATTTTACCTGGAAAAGGCCAAACGTACTTAACTGTCCAATGTAGGATAATTATATTTGACGTTACAGCGTCCAATATGGGATATATTGCATAAGAAGGAAATTGAATGTTAATAATTTATATAGAATAATGAGTAACATTTCCTTGAAGGTTTGAAAAGTTATTACAAATTGAATACTGATTATAGGATTTGAAATGTGATTTACGTTAGCATTTGTAATATGTTGTATTACATATAATTATATGTTATAATTTTTCAATGTTCTAATTTTAATATCACGAGCTTTCGTTTTGTTTTGTATAATTATTTCTAAGATATCGAAGTACGCGTAATATGTGAAAATTGTCTTGATGTGGAAAACGCAACCGACAATGGTCAATATATAAAAAGATAAAAATTGTTTCCGAATTGATTTTGTTGCTTTTGTTTTATTTGAACATGGCAAACTACATGTGTTCTAGGTTTTAGAAAGAGTTTTGTGTAATAGAATGAACTTTTGACAATGACTTAGTGAATTTTCTCTTTAAAAGAGAGAGAGTGAGAGAGAAATTTGAATATAAAAACTAGGTTAAAATGTCTACATTACTTGTTTAAATATTTATATCATGATATGTGTATATGACATTCAGAAATCGCACACTATGTCTCTACGACTAGTAAATGTCACTGTGTTACATCGAAATGTTACGTTTAATATTTACTGAATATAATTGAATATATGGAAGTAATTGATGTATATGTCACGAAATGTTTGGTTGTCTTTGGTTACGGATTAAATGTTGTATATTTTATAATAAGGAAGAAACTAAAATGACAATGCTACAGTATTTATCATAACGTAATTCAGCGAATAAAACGTTACTTTTTCTTTTCATATCAACATATTGCAATATCCATAAGTTTGACGAGATACGAACTCTTGTTTGATGATCTTTAGAGGTATAGTTTCAGTGATTTAGTATTTTGTATTGAAGTCAATGAGCCGCGTCACGACAAAACCAACATAGTGCATTTGCGACCAGCATGGATCAAGACCAGCCTGCGCATCCGCGCAATCTGATCAGGATACACGCTGTTCGCTATCAGTTTCTCTACTTGTAATAGAGTTGGTAAGCGAACAGCATGGATCCTGATCAGACTGCGCGGATGCGCAGGCTGGGCTGGGTCCATGCTGGTCGCAAACGCACTATGTTGGTTTTGTCATGATGTGGCTCATATATCACTTTGTTTACATTTTTGCTACCTTTAGGTCACATTATTGCGCGTTTAGCATTACGTTCATCAGGTGGTTTACATCTAACATGCTCTTAATCTGTTATTTTAACATTACAAAAAATTAAAAAATCATGTCCGTCAGGGATTGTAAATACGAGGAGCAACAACACAAGTTTATTTAGACACTTTATTTCAATAGTTGTATAAGTGATCACAAAGCGTGAGTAAGTTACACCATAAGGTACCAAACAATATCTATGTTGAATGAAACACCATTTTCAAAAACCAAAAAATATAGCGTAAATATATAATAGAAGTGTGAAAAGAATACGTAAGAAGCGAAGTTCTTATGTGAGATATAGATTGTTTCCTGCAAAATTTGCGTTTTCTTGTGACCAAAGAAAATATAAAGATGTAACATATTTACCGATCTCCTCTTGTTTTGATTCTTCGCAACAAAATATCACAAAAAGAGAGCACTCATTTTGTAACACAATACTTCTTTTACTTACTAGAAAAAAAAACAAAACAAAAAATGTAGAAGAACACACAATATAGTTATAAAACAACATAAAAAGGCTAGCAAAATTCCAATGCTAATTTTAGACCTTCAATTCTCTAAACATGTAGATGTAATATACATGTATATCTCAAAATTGATTTTCTAAAGGGCCATATATAAAAATATTAAGTAATTATTTTTTACTAAGAGGTCTTAATTTAGTGTCAATTCTTTTACATTTTGTTTCATAGATTCAATTTGGAAACCCCAAGGACATATGCTTTTTTACACCTTTGCACAGTTGAATATGATTTTATCATGAAACGTATTATGACAAGTAAGCATTCTTTTCGTTTCAATGATTTTGAAAATATATACCAATAATACAATAAGCCTTCAGTATTGCTATTAAAAGCTTTTATCTTAAATATAAGCATGATCTCCATTAACTTCATAAAAGCAGAAAGCAGTACTTATAAAATACATTAATCACATTAAAAAATAAATTAATACAGTCACCTTAAACAATGTAGCATAACTGTAATTATCTATCTTCCGTAAAGAAATAGCAAAATATGAAATAACCAGCAAAAACAATATAGATTAAATTGCACTTTGTTACACACCTACGACACATCTTTCTTACAAACATAATGTTGATAATGATTTTTATATAATAATTCTTATCCCTCTCATGCAGTTATAACTGGGGAATTATGACATGGCTAATAACGTTCTTGATTATCTGTTGCTGAATTAAAACACTGTAAATCACAGCGTGGCTATCATTAGAGATTAGCCTAACCTCCACAAATGCTCAATAAAAAACTTGCAAGAAATACAATAAGGTCAACAGTCCTTTTTTGTAATAAAGAGTACACCAAACTCTTGCCATGACTTCCAAAATTCCTTTTACATTGTATTGTATATGGTCCTTTGTCTAAACATTCGGCAAACTAAATGAACATGTATTCTCAAATAAACGTTGCTTTTTTTTCGAATCACACCTAAAGCCACACGTTCACAATTCTGAAATGATTTTAATTCCGTTTGAAAATTGCTATGCGTGTTATAAAGTGGAATGAAAAACAACTGATATTTGAAGTTTTAATTAAACTCTGTTTGAAAAAAAATATGTACTATCCATTAACAATATTTATTACTAATGGAAACAATCAATGGATATTCAATGCCACTGAGCTGCAAAATGTGTTGTGTATATAACAATTACTGTAACTATTTCAGCAATTTCCTCTTAAATTTGAATAAAGTTAATTACTTAAACGTACTGTAAATTGTTATTCTAACTGGCTGCAAATAGATTTTAGAATTGACGGGTACTTAGCCTATTACTTTATCATATTACAAACTCTTTTCATTCATTTTATATGAATCAATTTACAATTCGTTGCTATTTACATTGCTTTGTTAGCTACCTTCGTTTATGCCGGTACAAGCTAATCCAATGAAATAATGTTGAATAGAATATTTTCAATTCAGCTTTTTCACTCTGTTGATAAATTATCATAACACCAAACTATACGCACTACCTTTCTTATAAATACTATGACATTCTTCTTTTGATATAAAGATTACATTTTACTACAGAAAGTGTGTTTTGCTGTACAAAATAACAAATACTAGTAATCACCGTTTCGGATTAATTCATAATGGGAAAAATTGAGTCATATATATAGTTCTAAAACGCGTGTGATTAATTTCATAAATTACTTTGGCAAATATGAGCAAACATGAATGGAAAAGAAACAATATTTAGTAAGAGAATCCAAAACAACCAAAAGTTAAAAGCATCTTAATAGGAACAATTAAAACTTGATCATTTCGCTTTATACTTAAATTCATATTGATTATCAGTAACCTTTAAAGTGATCTAGTCCTTAAACAAGCGTTTGCTTAAAAAGATTTCAAATGTTGGCGCAGCCAAGTGAAAAAATGCACTTTAGTGTATGTTTGATTTTAATGCAGTGTTTGACATATGACAAAAATCAAAATAAAATTGTTTATAACATTCTTTGTGTTAAATTTTTGTGTTATGCATTGTTAAAGAAAATCCTATAAAATGTATTCAAAAACATGACTAGTATTTCAGAAGAAATGCTTCAGTATATAATCCATTCTGAATCATTCAACGGTATAACAACGAAATATTTGAGATTTGGTATCAACATAATAATAATAATAATAAAACTTCAATGCCATTCAGAAGAAAATATACAATATCATAATTCAGCCAATGACTCACATGAAGGAATAAGCTAATAAAATGTTTAAGTGTATCAAAAAATGATACGATTCAAATGAGAGAATGGGATGATAAGTTACACTCCAGTAATTGCACATCTTAGCACAAGAATTACCAGTACAATTATTCGAACATTCACACAGTGTATGCCATCTCTATGAGCTTTGTATTTCATTAGTTGTATTTTGCATGGAAAATGTTCCTCTTTTTTTCTTTCACTATTTTGTTCCTTTTATGAATCAGATGAATTTGCTAACAGTGTTTACAAATCAAATCACTTGTTTACATTTTGCAATTTTGTCCTTTTTTAAAAGTACAAGTAATGGGAAAGATACGCGCTCACTGAAATTTTGAATTTAAATTAAATAGAAGATGACAGTAGAATTTGAATATCTAAATCCGAGTTTACACGTCCAAAACAGCGCACAGTCATACAATCTCATATAAACTAATCCGACAGTTGTTATTTTCTCAGGCGTATCATAAAACCCCCCTTTTGTCTCACTCATAAAAATCACTGGCATTATGAAACAAAATTGAACATGATAGAACGAGACACGCGCACACAATCGGCCAAATTCATAGAATAGTGCAGCCGCCCTTCTCTTTGTATGGGTTATCTCCCGGTCTCAGAAAGCCGTTGATGAGGACATCTTCACTAGTATGTTGCTCGCAGTATTTCATGATGTCTTCTATGCATTCGGAGACTCGCACTCGAGGCACTGCAGCCTCTAATCTAAGCTGCTCGACCAACTTCCTCTGTTGTTGAAGGCCCTCTTGGAACTTGTTCATTCTCGCCTCTGAAAAATAAAATGTTTTTTTTTTTTGTGTTAAAAATTATCATACGGACAAATTGAATGGTAATGTAAACTATTTGCTGTAAAAAATTGGCATAAACAAAATCTATGACAATGGCGAGGGGAAAATATCGATCACTGTTCATTATGGTGATTCATGATGATAATAAAGTTATTGTGATTTCTATTCAGAGACAGGTTTTTATGTGTTATTTTCTGAAGGAAAAGAAAACACTGGATATTAACAAGAAATTACAATAAAGGCAAGGGCTAATAATAAAAAAAAACATACGTAAACGAGATGAAACATTGACAAAGAAGGTCAGGTTTGCATTTCATTGTATTTAAAAGCTATAAGTTTCAGGTTGTATTTCATTGTATTTAAAAGCTATAAGTTTCTTTTAAAATGTATATACAAATATATGTAAGGTGTAAAAATGCTGAATTTTGATTCTGAAAAAAGACAATAAAACTAGTTTGACCACAAGCTGGTGAAGAATGTGTTTAAAATTTCATAAAAGAAGGCTTGCAGTTTTCACATATATCAAACCATTTTACCTTCATGTCCACAGACAAGAAACTTTATCCCCCCAGCACCGGCTTAAGAAATATAAAATCTTCGACATTAAACGTATTGTATCAAAACTGTAACGAAATGCCTCGCATACTGACGCATTTTTAGTGTATCCTTTAATTAATTTCATTCATATCTAATAAATTATTTGTATTCATTTATCTACGATTTTTTACTGTTATGTTATTATTATGATTTATATGAACTCTTAACAGAATAGAAAGATTGTTGTTTGTTTTTCGTTCAAAATAGCCAATACAAGATGTAGCAAAATATTCACTTTTTTATTCACTATAGTAAAACATGTTTCAGACCAATGACTTGTAGCAGTATCATTATATCCTCACAGAACAGCTGACGACGTCCACTGCTTCCAATCATTCAAATAAATTCTTTCAAAACTCAATACAAGATATTTTATCCAAAATATTCCACAACGATATATATCCCGTTAATAACGTTAAGATTCATCCTTTAGCACATACGTTTTACGCGCTCTGTAAATCTTCAGTAAAAAATAATCAACACATTTTCACAATATTTACCTTTAGCTGCTTCCATTTCATTCATGATTTCAATATTTATTTCAGTCTCTTTTGAATGAAGTTATAGAATGTTAACTAAATTTTTCAACGACTTAAATTCCAAACGCGTGCAGGTAGTCTATCGATATCAATGAAAAAAATGCAAATCGAGTTGTAGTAGTATACATCAAAGTGATACCAATTTCGAACGTTTCTATAGCAATAATTTCCCACAGGAATATGCCTCTTTAAACATTCAATGAAGGCAGAGGTTAACGTTTCAATACAATTGCTTTTATTCTGATAACCATTGCTAAAAACGACGGACTAGAGATACGAAAATAATAAAAGCCTACATTCCCCTTCCCCACCCCCCATTTTTAAAAAAAAATTACATGCATGGACCAAAAATTATTTAAATAATTTGTGAAAGGTAGCTCTGTAAGACAAAGGTCAAACTTTTTATTCTATTCTTATTTTGGAAGCAATATAACCTTGAAATAAATCAAATCTAAAGCAGGGCACATTGTACAAAACAAGAGGAACGTAGTTATGAGAATTTAACGTGTGTTATATTGTAAATCTAAGGTAACATCGAAACATATAAAATATTGTATGCTAAGTTCTGCTTAAGCCGGTGATAGGGGGCGGGATGGAGGGGGCAGAGAGAGATGGGTCCATTTACAGAGTAAATCTTATAGAGTCTGCAACCTTTTCAATTCTGTCGTGTTCAGTGACCTTTAAGGTTTGAGCTTTGACTATTGTATGGTTGTTCACAGTTTTTAATGATAATCTGAAATATTTTGACAATAAGATGCTTATGAATCATTTTTTGTTTTATTACATTAGAACACAATAGTGTTGTATTTTTGTAAAGCATATACTTTTATAAAAACTGAAAATTAGTACAGACAGAACAGGATTATCATATATAATTAAGGTTCCTGAAAGACATAGTTTTATACAGCTCCAAATCAGTCGATCATACTGGTTCTAAAGATAAAACCAAAGAGAGAGAGAGAGAGAGAGAAAAAAAAGAAATATTTCATGTTAAATTGTCTGATACATAGATTGATAGCAAAACGTCATGCCTACCAAAATCAATTTAGACAAAGTGTTAGGTGTGGTATAGCTTGCTTAATTTTTTTTTCTATTCTTAGATAAAATGCATATTAACATAAAATAAGTGAAGCAAAATGTAATATTGATACCGTTCAATTCTAGTTATAACTCGTACCTGAGCATCTCTGACAATCGTATTACTGTATTAAAAATTATTGCGATAATTCTTTACTGAAAGATCAATACAAATCAATTACATTAATCAGAAATCTCTGAAGTATTATCAGATAAAAAAGTGTTATTTTTCTATCTAGCAATAGAAGCCTAGCATTACGAGGTGGAAAAAAACAGAAGAAATAATATGATTGAAATGCTTCGGTGTTTTGTTTTTTATATTCAAGAAACGTATTCCAGTGTGAATTTATTCAAGTTTAATGGAGCGGGAATAGTCTCTGATAGGGAAGGGTGAATCTGGTAACGAGTTAATAGCGTGTTAAAATACCTATTCAATCTGTTTGATAAATTGATAGGCTTTATACAGCGAGGACATTGATTGACTCGCCTGTGGACACCGTGTCTATTTGTAAACTGCGTGGTTCTAGAGATTTTTTATTGTAATTATTTTAGAAGTACACAATGTATAGGGAACAGTCTATGACTGTCTAGACGCTTGAAGCATTTCTGATTGAATATGAATGCATTATTCAACATACATAAAGACAACAATTGAGAAAATAGTAAACACGTGGCATTGTAGGAAAGCTTGATTTGAAAAGGAAATTACTCCAAAGTCAGTCAAAGGGTACACACAAGAACAGTACTTTTAATTAGACCTACTTGTTATGTTCTTTTGTAGAAACTTCAATTTAAGAACTCGTGAAGAAGTAGATACGAGGGTTGTCCAAAAAATTCGTGCACTGCAGTTATTGTCGTGAGAGTTATTAATAAAAACAAATGAATTATATATCACTTGAAGGAGAAATCTGTCTCAAATAAGAAAACAAAAGAAAAAGCCGAGTAACCGGCGTGTTGTGTAAAAGAATGGTCATTGAGTTACCTTAGTATTGTAATACCGGCGCACGGCAAAAAATTGGGTTAGTTCATTACTGTAATTGTATTAATTGTTTGTTGCTTGTAAAGTGGTATTTGCTTTTTATGTTACAATTTGTTTTACTGACAATAGAGGAATGATTGATACAAAGTATTGTGTAGTTTTTATTGTTTTTATGCAACATACATGTAACATATTCCACCAGTGCAGGAATATATTGGACAACCCTCGTCACATGCGCCGGCATTACGAACGGACGTTAGCCTGACCGGTTGTCATCGTCTACCGACTCTCTCTCCCTCTTCTACAGAGCGTTTGTGCCATCTAAAAACTAGCCTACGTCTGAACTAGTCCCGCTTGCACTTTTAAGTTCTTTGTAGGTATCTGTTGGTGTTTTACCATTATGTGAACAAAATTAAATGATCGTCCGTATTTTCAGACGTTTAGCGACTGACATTTTCACGTAATTACAGTATTAACGACCACACACAAATGTTTGTTTACGACTGTTACAATAAAGCAAATGACGTCATATTTTCTATTGACGTTAGGAATACGTAAACACACTTTTTCCTGAATTTTAACGTTAATATGTAGTGTCTAAAGAAAACCGTGATGCATCGACTATGTAATGAACTAACCACATATCTGTTGGTGTTTTACCATTATGTGAACAAAATTAAATGATCGTCCGTATTTTCAGACGTTTAGCGACTGACATTTTCACGTAATTACAGTATTAACGACCACACACAAATGTTTGTTTACGACTGTTACAATAAAGCAAATGACGTCATATTTTCTATTGACGTTAGGAATACGTAAACACACTTTTTCCTGAATTTTAACGTTAATATGTAGTGTCTAAAGAAAACCGTGATGCATCGACCATGTAATGAACTAACCACATTTGTTGTCGTGCGCCGGTATTACGTTACCAAGGTAACTGTATGACGATTCGTTTTCAAGACATACAGATTACACGTATTTTTCTTTTGTTTTCTTATTTGAGATATATCTCCCCTTCAAGTGATATATAATTCATGTTTTTCTATCAATAACTCTCACGACAATAACTGCAGTGCACGAATTTTTTGGACAACCCTCGTATATCTTTTTTATTGAAGTGTAGTGTATATAAAAACTTACGAATAAAATGAATAAAATACATTGACAAACATTTTTGGAAATATCCTAATATATTGAAATCTATTAAACTTATGAAAACAGAAAATGAATATACACTTAAACAATTAGCAACTTTTGTATTTAAAGCTTTCGAATTGAGAAATCAGATGTTATTTCAAAACTTTTCTTCTTAACATGTCAGCAGTGACAATGTTATTTTTCCTCTGTTTTCTATATGTTTTGCATATATGTATGCAAAAATTGTAACATATTTCATTATTTTTATGTTTGAACAGCCACCATTGGCTTATTGTTTTGCAGATTGTATAAGAGTATTGTACTGTATAAACTCATGGGTTGTAACCTTTAGTTTAATAAACTATCTATCTGTCTATATATTCTAAATCAGTGACTATCTTAAAACCATCCTATTAAATTTGCATTAATGAATACCAGCTAAAAAGCAAATATCAAAAGGGATAATAAAAGAAACGCCAGGGACAAATGTTCACAAAAATATGCATAAGCCAAAACAAAAATAAGTAGAGGAACTGGAATACCATTAAGGTTACATGTTCAAAATACTTAACCGCAACACATGCTGTATATACATACCCAAAGACTGCTTAAGACATGCAATTAGTTATGTTAATTTCTTGACATTGCATTTAAATTATATTTTAGGCAATACTACAAATATAGGCTGAAAACGTTTTCGTTTAAACTGTTCAGTAACTAAATAAATGTAGGTCTCAAATACACGTCTGGAATGAAAATGTTTCGTAACTGATTGACTGAACGAATGAATGAATGTTATGGCATGATGAGATTACTCAGGAAACTGACTTTAATTTTCTTCACTTGTAGAAATCATGCAACAAAATTTGAATATACTATATTCAAATATCTGAATTTCGTTGAAAACCACTGGATATTTAACCATTAGAAAGCATTGCATTTGTATTACTCTTCCACAGAAGATGTTAACATGCATGCATTGCACTAATAAGCTTATACATGTAGAGTGTGACAACTGGTGGGGAAAATTTTACATTATATTGTAGTGAAAGTTCAACTACAGCTATTGAAATTCTATATATTTTGAAGGCTCAACTCTCAATCTGCTAAAATCAAAAGTGATTTGCCTATTTCCAACAGTTACTAGCCGGGCCATCCTTTATATCCGTGCGGTCTGACCAGGCTCTCAGTGCCGGAAGCTCATTTTTCAAACCTGGGCAAATCCATTACACATATTTAGCAGGTTGAGTGTTAAATACATGTGTATATATAAACATTGGATATTTATTGAAGCTGCGTTATATACCAAGCATAAGTATGTGTGTACATTAGAGCTTTCGACATATACCTTGGCATTTAGGGGTACTTACCCATAGACATGGTCCAATGCTGCACTTAGACAATTGTAAATAGTATAATGGGAGAGGAGATTGATTTAGTTCTACGAGATCTGAAAAGTACAACAAAATTACGACAAAACTACAAAATAAAACTTGACAATACAACCAAACATTTTCGAACATTCTCTTTAAACCTACTTTATTTTAGGCAATTTTGTAAAAAGCTACATACCTAGGCAAACATGAGAGAGATTAATTGAGACATTTTACGATCCAGCATGATCAAAGCCAATCTAGCACACCTACATGTAGTTTATTTAATATATTATATAACTTAATGATTGCATTATTATCATCACATTTAAAACACTCAAATCCAAAAGTTCTTCCAATAACTCACGTCAAAACATTTATTGCCACTCACATAGAAAAACGTTGACAATTTATGGAAATATTTATTCAGTTTTTGCACGCCAGAAAAATCTGAAACCCGACTCTGTCGTTAACTTGAGAGAAATAGCATCATAGATAGATGAATATATTATATTGCAACATTGACATTTGAAAACAGCAACATTTATACTTCCTTAAATCTAAAACAAGCAAGACAAGTGTTTAAAGACACTTCACAAATTCCATCCTTTAAGCAAAGACAACAGGCTTGTTGAAGAACAAGGAACATTTTGAAGAAATAAAATAGATCATTGTAAACTGAGTCACCGGCTTAAACAGAATGAATTACCACAATGTTTACATTTCAAGACATTCAAACACTTCGCGTCCGTTTATTTTATTCATTACATATGAACTTGTAAGGTTGAATATTTAATCAACAGAGTTATCATTAATAACGCTTGAACAATTCATTTTGATTGATATGCAAAATATCCGTCCATTTCTGACATTATAGTATTTGATAAGTATACATGAGAAGAGTATCCTTAATAAATGCGTGAAAACTTTGAAGAAAGATACAGATTTAATTAAGAACACTTTTAAAGGAAATTTAAAATATTTAAAAGTATGCACTCAAAGGAATATTTTATTTCATATTTTAACAGACTGTATCATATTTTGTATGCAATAACTATGCCCTTGACATTGGTAAACCCTTATATTTAGGATCATGAATGTATATAGACTGCCTAATTGCGTTGTGTCAAATTGCATTATAAATGGTGTGCAAAAAGCTTTTGCAGAGACTGAGGTCTGACAACTGAAGTGGCCACTTAAAAACGCTGTGCAGATGATTTTCCCCTTCTTCCACTGTGTCCCTGTATTTGTTCTTTGACAAAGTATTATCAACATTACTATTGACAGATGAAATTAATAATTAAATCTTTTTCAAAGTGATGGTCCAGTTTATCTCATGAAGAACTTTCGCCAGATTATGTGGTACACATATTCAAGTTCCATTATAACAATTTTATGATGTGTTGATGTAAATCTTACAGGGGAACAAGTATACTGAAGAATGTATCAGGAAGACTGCATGACAGTGCTTATAATATTATGACAATTTGAGAAGGGCATGCACTGTGTCACACTTGTCTCTAAGTGGGAGGAGAAGCATGACCGAAAACTCTTCGAAAAACCAAAAAACCCCAATACATCATTAAGGATGATTTAAAATAACCAAAATAACCCACCCCTGACAACCTGGAAGATCTTGAGATTTACAACTATGACGTTTGGACAAATCAAGTGTTTGTTCACTTCAAAGTGAAATACACTAACAAGTAGTTTATGTGTGTGCATATTTTATTTTGTTTGATTTTCTTTGCAATTTGTAAACATGGGTAATTGACGCTAATTCTTTGATTTCCTTTAAATAATTTATTCATTTTTTAAGGTTTCTGTACAGTCAGTTAAAGTAAACTGACGAAATAAATATCTGAGAAATATTCCCAGAGCGTTTCAGGTATTTATAGATGGCGCTTGTATAACAATTAATTTGTCATGATATACAGTACAAATTGGAAAGAATAATCTCAATTTACCTTCAACAAAAGAAACCATTCATATTCAAATGCAGAATTAGGTTCAAGCTTTCTAGACTTGCACATAAAAATCTATCATGTCGATACAACTCGCTGGTGGTTATATATAAATTAAGTATCAGTAATGCATTATTGTCAGTAGGTTTTTGCTTTCAAGAAAGAAAACAGACATATTTCGGCGAGAAGACATGGCGACGTAATTCATTACTTCTGCGCATGTATATATTTTTTTCTGAATTTCCGTATACATACACTTTCTACATTCGAAACAAGTCACTTGTACAATGCAATATCAATATTCGTTGTTGACAAAAACTAATTCAGGAAGAAAATCTGTTCATATTGTTGACCTTAGTCTTAACACGCAGTAATTGACATGAACATAAATATTTAATATGATCTCTATAATTTTTGCTGTTATGGTTTAAAGTCGATTCATTTATTGCCAAGAAAGACACGGCTATACTAGATGAACCTGCATGGTTTGAAAACGATCCAATGGGGATTGGCTTGTCACGTAGAATAACAATTACGTTGATTGATGCAGTCAACAGAAAGTGGCTAATAAACCAGTATTGCTTTATTTTACGCCCCTTTCTCGATGTCATAAAAGCAAACTAATGTATACTGTTTTAATGGACAAGAGACAAAGGTGTTAATACTAAAAGCAATATTTAGAAACTTGAAAAAAATCACGAATTTTACGATAAACTTGTAAAAACGTAAGAAAATCGCGGGACTCTTTTAAATTGTCAGAGAAACACAGATAAGCGAAGCTTTTGGACAAGCCAAATGGTTGTCAGTCAACTGGTAACTAAATTTTACTAAACAATTATCAGAGAAAACATCTTATGGAAATACACGTATAACGACTGCGTTATGTAACATGAAACTTGTAATCACTAATTACATAAATAAGTCTTATCTACGTACATCCTTATTTTGTTTATTCTAAATAATCAACTTATTTACTAGTTAAATATATCGTATTGCCGTGCATGAGATACGTACATGACCAATTACATTGATTTTATATACTGAAATGTGAACATGTAGCAAGATGATTAAGTGATTACGATATGATCAAAATCTAGCAATATCCGGTTAGAAATCTTATAAAATATTTAAATATCTCAAGACATTTGATTGGCATCGCATATTGTCACTCTAACTACGCTAGATATTTTAAATGGATTTGTCCATCTTTTAGAACGTCATTTTATTTAAAATTTCAAAATGTGTACTAACTGAATAACGAACCGTGCTGAGCATGATCAAACAGCACGGATGTGCCGGCATAAATCGCACGGGTTGATTCAATTGCCGCCAGCAGACTAAAAATTTCGATGTCACAAAAAATCAAATCGAAATGAAACATTTAGGAAAAGTTAAATGGCCGAGTTACAAAAGTGGTTATTAGAAAAGAAATTCAGTTCATCTTTCAGTACATATCAATTACAAATGTACATATGTAAAGGAAGAAATACAATCTCCTTAAAAGCACAGACCACAGAAACTTACGTTTAAAATTGTACCGTATATACATCGTTGAAAATCGGACAACTGTTACATTTCCATAGAATTTAAACATTTTGTGTGAATAAAAAAATGCAGTTTGTATCCATAGCAACCTAGCATTGAGTCAAAAGAAGTTGAACTTAAAGCATTACAAAGCATGTGCGCAAGAATGATAACCCAAGATATGATCGAAAATTGAAATCGAGTTTAAATCGTTTGAAGAACTGCAACATAAAGGACAATCTCAGATATTAGTGACTACTGCCAAATTTACACTTTATGCAAGAATGGAAATATCAGAATAAGAGAACAATGGTAATTTCAACAATCTTCCGATTTTCTGAGCTGCATGGCAAATTCTCATCGTTACTTTCAGTGATTTATAGAAGTGAAATCTGTGCAAAAGGAACGCTATGGTTTAAATTCATCTTAAATCGCTCAAACACACGGAATGCCTGTGGCCATGACATGCAAAAGTCATGAGCGTTCTGCATGTTCTTAATTCTAGTCACGCCCTGAAAATCGCAACCTTTCGATCATTTCCGTCAAACTTTCAGTTAAAATCAGACCATTATGTACATATTCGGGCCATTGTCGCATAATGGCGAGCAGTAACCAAGTATCTGCAAGTAACTTCAAGTAAAACCGCGCTAAATGTTATCGTTACAATATACGCCAATGAAAAATGATTCTTTTGCACTTTTAGGTCTTCAGTTTGGGTATGTGATGAATAGAACTACTACATTCGTGTAGGTTCATTACTGAATTATTGACTCTTGAATGAAATGATAGCGAGTCTCTTTTATTCCACTCGTTCAATAAATTTAGTATTGAACCTACACTCATTCTTTATCCTTTATTGTATGCCCAATCTGTTTGAGACAACAATATCACAAGCTACGCCATTAAATCTTACAAACGACAAAGGCAAAAAGTTAAATTTTTATTTAAACTAATCGGAACAGACAAAATGGTTTTTGAAAGAATGATAATCCGAAATTTAATACTATTGTCACTAAATGAAGGAATAGAAAACCATTAACAGACACACGATGTGCTGTATCATCAAGTATATATTAACAGAAATAATTGTTACAAAAATCATCCGAATAGTAATTGAGAACCTAAAAATAAATAAAAGAAAACATATTTACCAAGATCCTCATTTCACGGAAAAAAGTATATACAATTTATTACTAGTATTATATTATATATATCCGTATAGATATCAAGTATCCTTGGCGACCAGAAGCTATTATATTACACATAGTATATCTACGGATTTATTTCTCAGTATCAGTCTCGACAGCTTGACAACGTGCGGCAAGGTAATCTTAATTTAATGTCACGCAAAAACACCTCTTTTGAAGAAAAAAAAACGATTATTACTAAGAATTAATTCGTTCACAACCTTTAGTCGAAACTGTCCATAGCGTTAAGTTATTTTAAAGGTACATACCCATATCGTTTGGTTACTCATTACAGCGTTTAGTAAACTTTGGTGTCTACCTCAAAAAAAGCATTTTCCTCAGTTTTATTTTTACTTTATTTTTTTTTCATTTTAGACCCTACTTCATTGGAACAGCTTTTTCTATCTCTTTTTAAAGCTTTTCCCCCTGTTTTTAGTTTCTTTTCTCTTTTTAAAAGCAACTTAGCAATTTTTCCCCGTTTAGTCACCCCCCTGTCACCGTTTTAGCCACCCCCTGTCTTTTCGTTTATTTTCTTCCTTTTTTTTATCTAAATTAAAAGCTTTTTTAGCAACAGAAAAAAGAACCCGGGTTGGTTTTCATTTTAATTTTCCATCGGGTTTTTAAAAAACTTATTAA